TCAAGATTCCTTGGGTGTGATGTCTTACTGATTTATGCAGGAAAATGTGTGCTCTTGTTTTATCAGTGAATACATGGACATTGGTATTGTGGTAAGGGCACATGAATGAGCTGAAGAAATGGAAAGCTTCAGAAACCTATGAGTGCACAATGTGGAGTGTGCATTATACCAAAAAATTAAGGAAATTGTAAATCAAACAATGTGTAGTCCAGGATGCAAATAGACTCATCGAGCAGGTTTTGTTTTGTTTTGTTATGAATAAATCCATCCTGAACTAGGGGAGAACTAAGGGAAAACAAAGCAGATTAGCTGAGCCACCGCTGATTACTTTTAACAGAATGTTTCCTATTCAGAAACCAGCTCTTATTGTTTAAATAGAAGCTATTATGTCAGGAATCTAAAAGCCTGTTTTCTGAAAATGTTGCCCTGTAGGCAATCCAGTGTTCCTGGTGGGGTGGTGCACCAAATGACTCCATCCTGGCATTGGCTATGAATGAACATGGGAAAAGACTCTAAAGTTGATATGAATGCTACCATTAATATGGAGAACTTATATGACTATAATAGTGATATTTTCGCACAAACTCCATTATGATCTTGAATGAAAGAGTACACACACCCTTGAATTTTTGGTGTGTTCCTCATCTCTTTTCTAAATAGATTGCTTTCACGAAACCAACTTCAAAATTATGCTTCGTTTTTTCATATTGATATAGACAGCTAGACATCATTTTGTATTGCAAGATGCAATTCCATTACAGAATTTAAAGTTGCATTGTGTTACATAACACTTTTATAGCTTGCAGTCTGATTTCTTACAATATATCTTTGCCTTCCATAGTAAAAGGAAACACAAGGGAGCAGAAATGCCTGCTTGTCTTCTCAACATAAAATTCAGATGACTAGACATACATAAATTATTACAATAAATTAATACAAAAATTATTTTAGTCCTAGATTTAAATCTCTCCTAAAACAATATCCTTCCCACAATACAAACTATGACTAAAGTTTTCTTAGTGCTTTTCTTTTATTCAACGTGTTATATCTGGCTTTATTTAACAATATGTCTTGTTATTGATTATTCTGCAAGACTTGGTAATAAGCAGCTGAAACGCCAAAGTAGCTTACTGGATATAGTGATGGAATTCCCTTATGTGTATTCTGGAATGACTGACAGCACAATCCTATGCATGTATACTCAGAAATAAGTCCCACTGAGAGCACTAGGGTTTACTTCTAAGTAAGTGTACATATAGGATTGCAGCCTAAGAAGCAGGTATCTTCAAGCCTCTCCAAAACCACCAATCAATTGTGAGTGACAAAGCGAAATTCATACTAACCTTTTCAGTATCAGTTAATTTGCCCCCTGAAATTCAGGTTGGGTTTTTGGAACCATAATTAATTGCCTGGAAATAATTGGCAGCATGTGTTAATCCTGCAACATTTTTTTTTTCTGATGAAGAGTGAGAAGAGGCAAGAAGGCAAAAAATGATTGTGTACTGTAAATGAGCTCTCACATTTACTTGATTGTATTTGCTCCTGTGTGTAAATTAAGTACTTGTCATCTCAAGACCACCATATACTTAATGCAGGTTCTATGAATAGATTCTGTAACCTTTTTGTGTGTTTTAAAGCGCAGGACTACAAGAAAGTTCTGCCTGATTTAGAAAACCTTTGCAAGTGCTTCCCCAAGAAAAAAGCACATACCTTCTAGACCTACTGGTCTCAGACCTTTTGGGGAAAATATTTCAAATACGACTGTATAAAATGGTTTTATGTTTGGATCACATTTTAATATAAAATAGATCCCTGAAAGAAACTATGTACAAACTCACTCAAGGAATACCATTCTCAGTTATATCTCGATGTAAAATTTGTGTTCCAATGCTGATTTTGTCTAGTTCTAGTTGTGATTCCATTCTTTCTGCTGTAATAAATGCTTACTTTACTTCAAGGCTCCAGATGTTTCCAATTTGAGATGCACTGCATCATAGGATTTATAGCTGAGGGCCTGCAGAATAGAAAACTCAGCAGACTTGTTCTCTGTTGCTCCAGACAGAAGGATAAAAATTGCAAAGAAGCAGATGTTGGCTAAATATTTGGAGAAACTTCTCAACGATGGGAAAAGGAATCTTAGGAGTTGATGGGTTCTCTTTCCTTAAACTAGAGATCTTTCATCTGAAACTGGATATTTATCTGCCAGGGATGCTGTAGCTGAAATATTCCAACATCAAACAAGAGCTGGGGCTATCGGAACCGCAAAGTCCCTTCCACCTCCAAAAGTCTATGATTCTATTAATCATTAGTGATTTCTGTGCCCGTGCATTTTCCTTTAATCTAACTTTTCATAGTGGGATTTGGTGAATTACAGTGTGTGGCTGGGTGGGAAAGAACGGTAAAATATCATTAAAATGCAGGTGTTTAAAATATACAGAGTGCTCACTGATGTGTGACAACAACGAAGTGAAGTTATGTGGGATCAGCTGAAAGCAGGTGGGTTTTTGTATGGCCGCCAGAATCTTTGGAGCGAAAACACGAATCTCTGGAACCATAGTATTTAATCTGGATTCCTGGAACCGCAATGCTCAACCTGAATTCCTCTTTTATTGGTAGGTTTTGACAGCAAATCTAAACAATTGCCAACCTCTTTTTAATTGACTCGTCCATCATAGTTTCTGCAGGTGTCTGTACACAGGGCAGGTTTTCAAATCCATGTCTATGTCTCTGATACAAACCCAAGGCATTATTCCTTTCTTCTTTTTTCATTCCATGGCAAGTCCCTGGTATATTTTCACTTCTCTCAATTATAGCTTTATTGTTATTTTCATCTTGCAGTATCTACAGTATCGATTGGCTTATAGTTCTTATTACACTGATCCATCATAACCTAGCTAATCTATCCGATCTAGGATGAGAATGGGAAACAAACAACAAAAAATCCTTGACTGTTGGAATGTCCCAGGAGGGAGAAGTCCTTTAGGGTTTTTTTTTTTTATAAAGGCTGGCTGCAGTAAGTGGTTGTAAAAGTCTTCTGTACTGTATGCCAAGAAACAAGTAAAAAAAAATCTATTGCCAACTTCTGAAGGTTAATTTTGGCAAGCAATTTGTTTCTCTGTATATACTCCCTTGAGGCCAGGCTTGTGCACCCATATACTGCATTGACAATACACTGGACTGAATAACCATATTTATGCATGTATTTTACTATATTACATATTATGCATTCATCATATTTATGTATTTATTATAAACATTTACAACTCACCCTTGACCATGGGGGATATACCTCAATCATTGTAGCGATTAAAACAACTCACACATGAAACCAGCAGCTAAAATAATAGATAAAACTGTATTTTGAAGTCACACTCAAAACACAGAACCACTTACAAAGGCAAGGCTATTATAACTTTCTCATCTTTCACCTCTAAGCCAACGAGTTCACCTTGTCAAATACACACCTCCAAAAAGATTTCAATGTTGGGTCCAGATGCACCTCAGAGGAGAAGGCATTCCATAACTTGAGGGCTGCCACAGAGAAGGCTGTCTTATGCGCCGCCACACCAGAATTTCACAGGGCACAGAGACCTTTAACAGGGTCTCTCATTCAAATCTTAACCCCCAGGCATATCTATGTGAGGGTGGTACTCCTTCAGATACTTGGAGTCTGTTTAGGGTCAAAATATGTCTTTCAGGGCTGCTTCACACATGACTACTTGCAAAATGGAATTTAATTGAGAAGTCAGGAAGAGCCAGCACGTAACAAACGGTATCCATGTTCCCCAACCGCACTAGTGAATATTTTGGGAACCAAATGTCTAGTGCCCCGACATTGCACATAGGAACACCAAAAGGATTTGTTCTTTGTGGATTTCTGTACAACTCAGCTGCATCTCTTGAACGAATGTGCAGGCAGAATGTAATGATTCACCAAATTTTGTACTTTCTGAAATATTGCAACGCATTTCCCAGCAGTTAAAATGTATCACAATGCGCATTGGACTTTTGAGAGGAAATCACATTTATGCTACAATCCCCTGAATGTCTATTCCTGGTTTTTACTCCCAGGAAAATGTGCATAGGGCTGTATTCTTAAATATGAGTTTTGAAAGAAAAGACACATTTCAACATAGAGTAAAATAGCATTCAGATACAAATATTCAACTTCAACTCACCAGTGCATCACAGTGCCATATTCATAACTAAAGGAATAGGCATTGAACAAGCATCCACTATTTTCTTCCCATTGCAATTACAGTGGTACCTCGGGTTACAAATGCTTCAGTTTACAAACACTTTGGGTTACAAACTCCGCTAACCCGGAAGTAGTACCTCGGGTTGAGAACTTTGCCCCAGGATGAGAATGGAAATCACGTGCCTGTGGCAGGGCGGCAGTGGGAGGCCCCATTAGCAAAAGCACACCTCAGGTTAAGAACGGTTTCGGGTTAAGAACGGACCTCCAGAACGAATTAAGTTTGTAACCTGAGGTACCACTATATTGGAGTACAGGCAGAATTTTTGCTTTAATAATTAACAGTCTTATATGCCAGTATTCACTGCCTTGGGCTTTAATGGGGTGGGAAAACCTTAATACTCATTGATCTTTAGCAAACCAGTGAAGGATTTCCTTCCTTGATAAACCAGAATAATTTGCATCAGTAGTTTTCACAATTTTTAAAATAAACATATGTGACATATCTCTTCCAAATTTGGAATAAAATGGGTAAATGTGTCACTTTACAGCATGATGTAACTATATGTACCTGTGACAGTTTTTATTGTATCAATTTGAAATTTGGCAGATTTGTAGATTTCATCTGCTAGATCATGTATGCCAATTTTCAAAATGTTAGCCAAACAGATGACATTTTTATAGAATGTTGACGCTTATAAAGGT